CCGCCCAACATTCGGCGTAAAAAAAAGACAGGTGGTACCGACTACTGTTATACGGTAGCTCAGTCATATCTGACCAAGATCTGAAACATTGTTTTTATTTAATATATGTAAAATTAAAAATAAAACAATTTGCACCTGGGGTAGCCGCCCCATCTCCCACACTCTGATGACACCCGGAGTAGTCCCACCCCCACTCCCAGATGGTGATGACATTCTGATGGCTGCACCCTTCCCCGCGCCCCCCCCCCCCCCCCTCGACCTTTCCAACAGTGAAAAAATGAGGGGTCCCTCCCTCCCTACAAGTAATCACTGACACACAGGGTGGCCCCACCATCTTCCTGCTACCTTGCTGTTAGTAAATTAAATATTGTTTTCATCCACTTACCCAGAGCTAGGAAATATCTAAAGTTTATATCCAAACGTTATTGATGTTTATGTTCATGTTGACTGCAGCAAACACATTTTTGTTTGTCTGTAAGAGCCTTTATTGTTATATTTAAATAGTACACTTATTTACCTTAAAAATGACGTATAGTTCTTTAAAATGTGTCAAAAATTAATGAAACTAGTTTAATTTGTGTATACATCTCCTCCATTAAAACTGTGGATGCAGAGGGACTCCATTCTTGCACAAGAATAGGAATCCCTGTTGACCTGTTTGGCCTATAAATAGAGAAGGCGATCAACATTGTAAATACCCCCATAGTTTCTGTCTTCTATTCTCTCGCCCCTCCCCCTCTCGCTCCCTCCCTTCCGTCTCCTGCATTGTCTCTCTCTCTCTCTTCCCCTCTCCTCTGACCGTTATCTTCTTTTTCTCTCTATCTTTCCTTTTAAGCTCTCATTTTCTGCCCCCCCCCCCTTTCCCCTTTCTAATTTTATTTCTTGTTTAAATGTTTGGTATCCATAACTCTTTTCCTAATAACTGACAAGTACACAGGAAGTTGTGTTATGGTGGAAAAGGGGGTGGGGGTGGGTCTTTCAGCATGAACCTGGTGGATTAATCTATGTCCATATCCCTACCTGCCCCCTCACATGTGCCCTACCTGTTCCCCACTCTCTGCCAGTCTGTCACTGCCTTCCTCTCTCTTTCTCTTTGTCGCTCTCCCTCACTCCCCCCTCTCTCTCTTTCTTCATACCTTCAGTTGATGTAGAAGGTTATGCCCAGTGCAGAAAATTTCATGACCACCACTCCCCTCCCTCACACACACAATAAATATATGTGTACTTTTAAAAAACACCTTCGCCATCGTCCCCCTTCCCTCTTTTTCCTCCCACAGTGATAACACCTGGAAGTGGGGGGGGGGGGGGGGGGGGGGGACACCCCTTTCTGCTACTTTTTTCCCTCTATATCTCATTTCTTTCTCTCCCTGTCTCAGTCCCCACTTTCTTTTCTTAATCTTTATTCTCTCTCTATCTCTCTCTCTCTCTCTCTCTCTCTCTCTCTCTCTCTCTCTCTCTCTCTCTCTCTCACTCACTCTCGCTGTTCTCACTATTCTCACCTCTGTCTCACCCTTACCATCTCAGCCTTCTACACCACCTTCTCTCCCCTCTCCTTTTTGTAATTAAAAAATCAGAAATAAAACGCTGGTGCCCTGTTGGGTTGGTATCCTGCTCTATTTTCCACAAGTGGTCCCATCTCTTCTTTTGTCTCCTCTCGATCTTGTCTCATTTTCTCTAGATTTTCTTACCCTCTCCTCTCTCTCTCTCTCTCTCTCTCATTCTCTCTTCCCCCCCCCCCTAATTTTTGTTGTGGTTTTTCTACTTTTGCTGTGCTGCCCTGTAACCGCCTTTTTCTAGTGGTTGTGTCCAGTACACTTGAAATTGTGTGGATGGAGTGGGTGGGGTTTTGACATGAAGCTGGTGGTTTTTTTTTTTTTCATTTCTTGTTTCTTGTCTCCCTTCTGCCCCTCTCTTTTTAGCTGTGTTTGTCACTGCCTTCCTCCCCATCTCTCTCTCCCTCTCTCTTGCTTTATGTCTGTTTGCCTCCCTTCATCATTTCCTCTTTGTATACCTCCCGCCCATTTTCCTGCTCTGCCTTTTTCCTCTCTCTTTGGTTCTCTCCCTCTGTCTGCTGGCCTCTATACTGTCCCTCTGTCTCTCTCTCCTTTATGTCTACATCTCTCTCTGCTTGCATCTCCCTTTCTCCCTGCCCCTTCTCTCTCCCCCTGTCTCCCTAGCTCCAACTCTCTTTGTCATATTTTTCCTGCTTCCATATGTTTCTTTCTCTTCTTCCTTCTCTCTTCATCTGCCCATTTCTGTATCTGCATTCCCTCTTTCTGTATTTGTCTCCCTCTCTGTCTTTCACTGTCCCTTCCCCACTTTCCCTCATCATGTCTCCATCCCTCCCTCTCGTCACCTTTTTCCTCCTTCCCCTGTCTCTTTCCCTTCTTTCCTCTACCTTCATCTGTCCATCTTTACACTCTCTTCCAGCCTACCTCAGCAAATGTCTTCCTCCCTCTCTGTATGACTTTCTCCACCCCCCTCCCCTCCTTTCCCTTTTTAGATACCAGGTTCAGAACAGACATGACTTCAGTTTGCTCCCCTCTACCACCAAGTCTACAAAAAATAAATTTAAAAACACTATATGAAGTGCCACAACGGATTGGAAAAAAATAATAGTAGAAGCCATGGTACCAGGAAGGGAGGGGTAGGGGCCGACCAACATGAAGATGGGCACAGGATATAAGTGACTCCTTTCCTTCAGTATAATAGTATAATAAAAGTGCATGAGGCGGGTAAGCTGGCCAGAGACAAAGTTTCTTTCAGGCAGACTGTGATAAGAGCGACGCTCTGCACAGGACCTTGTACGGCGATATTGTCCCCCATACTGTACAGTGATCTTCTGTGCATAGATTATTCCGTGAAATGTAGTCCCAGGTAAATGCCGTACTAAGTCCAAGTAACTTATTACTCTAGGGGTAACAAATGTCAAAAACCAACGACAGGCAGAAAAATGCCACCAACAAGGTCAACTGTTGAAACTGCTACATTTAAGAACACGTCGCTGACGGGCAATATCAATACGTTTATTAAACAATTCTCCACAGATATAATGGGTGTCCATGAAATGAATATATTATAATCACTGCTCAACGACGGTAGGATAATTCCTTTCCTCCAACATGGAGCTCAGAGACTTTGCTCTTCCGTGAACTGCGGCATCAGGACGATGGTAGGATAATTCCTTTCCTCCAACATGGAGCTCAGAGACTTTGCTCTTCCGCGAACTGCGGCATAAGGACGACGGCATGTTAATTCCTTTCCTCTAACATGGAGCTCAGAGACTTTGCTCTCCCGCAAACTGCGGCATCAGGACAAATCAATACAAGCTTCTGCCCTTCCTACCTTTTCTTGTAACTGTCTTTTGTCATATTCTTCTGTCGGCAAGTGACGTCGTGTCTCTCTTCATATCTCATGTTCATTAGCGGTCATCAATAGTGTGAATCTTCGGATTGCACACAACAGCTTATCCCCCACCTCTCTGAGAAACTGGGAACCGGGGTTCCAGTTTAATGATCATTGTAATACATCTGTTGAAACAATCCAGAGATCCAAAATCGTAACGTCTTCGTCCAGTCAACTCACAAACGATTATGAAACCAATGGCGATGAATGTGTATCGCACATTAATAACACATATGGATATAACTATGAACTACCAACAACAGCAATATAACCTCAATAATATTATCAATCAAATATATGCATAGCTCCGGAAATCACATTTTACACTGGTCATGTCAGCTCTAAAACAAATTCAACAAATCAATGCATTACTTTTAAAAACAAGGACATCTTGACAGGTAATCAGCCAGAATGTTCTCTCGTCCACTTTGGTATATTACCGTATAATTAAACGATTGTAATGATATGGCCCAATGTAATATCCGAGCATTGGCCACCGAACTCGTATTCATTGCCGTTAGAGCATAAAGAAATGTCGACCCATCAGGTATTTGCTAAATCTGGAAATTGACCAACCAGTACACGCCGAGGGCCTCCCTCTCTGACACACTATAACGTGTCTCAGTTGGTGTCAGCTTCCTGCTAGCAAACAAGCACGGTAGTAACTGCCTATCATATCTCTGGCTCATTAGCGGTCACCAATAGTGTGAATCTTCGGATTGCACACAACAGACCTGCTACATGATGATGATGATATATGCGCTGGTATACCCACATGTGTAGCACAAATGAAATACCTTGTGTGCACGGTACACCCTTGAACAAGGCAAAAATCTTGTTTCAGTATTACACCAGGACAACTTTGAAAAAAAAAAAACTAAGGAGACCTTGAAAAGCCTTGAAATTGATTGGTGAATTTAGCTATGAACCCTGGTAGTAAGTAGGAATCCATGTTTGTCACTGGTAGCATAATGTCGGCCAAAACACCATTCTTATGAGATTTGCTTTGGTTGACAGGGTTTTCTTTCTATGCGTCAGAAGCGGTAATAATTTTCCCATAACCTGATTAGCTTTCACAGTTAATAAGTAAACCAGTCTGTTACTTTAATTCCTGTTGTCTCTTGTGTTACATCTGTTACATCTTCAGTAAATTTGTCTTTTCGTAACTTATATGTTCTTCAACCCTTGATGCTATAATTTGCTATATGATTAAGCAGATATTTTTATACAATATTTTTTTTTTCAAGTCAAGGTCAAATTTTCACACCTTGATGCATATGGTGCTAGCCACATTTTTTAAAATAGACCCATCACCCGATGGATGATTTGGTCACTGCCACCTCAATTGGCCTTTTTTTACTTCATGGGACACTTTCTGGTATCTATTCTATGCTTGAATAAATTGTTTGTCCATAACAAATCTACCTTGATGGGTAATTTACTCCATAACAGTTATGCCATTGAATAGCTAATCCTTTATAGGGCACATTTGAAACCATGTAGAGGTATACTAATGAAGAGCTGGATTGTTTTTCATAAACTGCTATTTGCTTAAATAATAATTTATTTTATATTGAATGTTCCCTATATTTCAGCCCTGAACCTGAGAAAGATGAGCCTCAAAAAAAAGAAACATATGTTTTCAAAAACAAGAAGGAGGCTATTGAAGCTTTCAAGTGTTTGCTAAAAGAAAAGGTATGACTTAAACTAAGTTACTTGTATTAACAGTGATTTAAGAGCAGTAATCAGGGTTCTTAGCCGACCATAAACCTGGAATTTAACCAGGAAATTGCAGCCTTGACCTGGAATTTTGACCGCGGCAGTGGTAGAATTAAAGTAAAACTGAACTATCATGAAAGACCTGTGATTTTTGGCAATTAGGCTATTTTTTGCCATTTTGGCTATTTTTGGCTACCCTTTTTATGGTCGTTTGCAGTGAGCGGGCAGTTGATTATCGGCCATTTTCAGCTGAAGTGGCTTGTTAAGGGCAAGCTGTATTGGGGGGGGGGGGGGGGGGGGGCAGCCACCTTGTATGTGTTTGTTTCTAAAAGCCATGATTATATTGGGGGATGGTGGGGCTAGCAAAATGACCCCAGCTAATTTCTCAATTCCTATTTATCTTTATTGCTTCTCTCTCCCTCTTCTTTTCTCTGACCTCTCCCTGTCTCCCTCTCCTTCCCATTTTCAGTCTTTTATCTCTGCCCCCCCCCCCCCCCTTCCCTCTTTGCTGTCTCTTGCATTATCTCTCCCTCTCCTCTATTCATCTTCTTCTTTTTATCTCCCTCTTTCCTTTTACACTCTCCTTTATCTGCCACCCCCACCCCCCGATTTTTTTTTCTTGTTTATTAATCATTTCCTTTAAACGTACTGCATGCCTGAATGCCTTTATCAGCTGAAATAGGTAGATGGCCCTAAGTTAGCCTTTTTTGTTTGTGTGGTTACATTTGTCTTTAATGTGGGGGTGTGCAGTTGATTGATCTTTTGTTCTTCTTCTATCTTTATCTCTTCTCTGCCACAAACTCTAGAAAAAAATGTAAAAACACTAAATCTGTGCTGGAATACCCACATATGTGCACACAAATGAAGTACCTTGTGTGCTCTATTATCAATGTCCTCTTCATGTCACTGTTGACACATAAGGCATTCACAAGTGATCTCAATTGCTGCCGGTCTGCTGCTTTTCTGCCCATGGCATCCCATGCCAGTTTACATTCTTTCATTTTATTACATTCTTTGTTTTATTTCCCGTTTTTTAAGCCGCAGTTTTAATTAAATTTAGGACTCCTTCCGTTTTCCATGGTAGTTTGTTGAGTGTCCTGAATCTTTGGTCAATAACCTAATGCTCCGTGCCTTGACTCCACAGCAGGTGGGCCCCTTTGAGGTGAGAGGCTCGGCCCTGTCTCTGCTTGGTGGGCTGCACGATATTAGCACTGTATCGATATATTTTCATTTGTGAGATGAAATTAAGGCATTTCTCTTTGCGTGGTTCCTCTGCTTCTACCTGTCAAATATGGGATTCTGTATCTGTGGCTAAGCTACCGTCAACATAGCTCTTAGGGTAACTGGAACATACAGGTCCTTCTACTACAGGACATCAGTGGTGGCACATCAGAGCATCAGATTTCGTAAATATTACATAGGGCTATTTACAATGAATTTATTAGTAGAGGCGATTTATTAAATATGGTTTTATTGCAAAGGAATTAAAATATGTATTTAATTTTGTGACAGTGCTTTGTTTATGATAGCAGTGGTAGTTCTGTGGCTAGACTATTGCCTGCTGGCCAGAAGTTGTTGGGCTCAAATTGACATTGAGTCAGATTTTTTTTAATGGACCTGACTTTCAGGACAGTCCAGCCTAACATGGGTACTAGATAATGTCATGAGGAGAAATGGTTTCTGGCACGATGTTGGCTACATCACCCATTAAATGCTGATTGGTCTTAAAAGTAATATGGGTCTAGGATAAATGCCTAAAACACTGAAGGTACAAAAAGGTTCTGTTTTTTATTAGAAGTATTACACTGTTTCCTGAATGTTTCCTTGTTCCAGTTACTCAAGTACAAAGCTAAATAGTGTTTTTCACCTTTTCATGTTTTTTAAATTTTATTAAATATTTGTCTTATTTTAGGAAGTACCATCAAATGCTAGTTGGGAAAGTGCAATGAAGCTGATAATCAATGACCTTCGATATGGTGCCTTAAAGCACCTGAATGAGAAGAAACAAGCATTTAATGAATACAAGACTCAAAGGGCAAAAGAAGAGAAGGTACTGAAAGCATCATCATCATCATCCTGTAACACTGCGTGTCGTTGGGTTACTAGGCTGGAAAGTTGTTCCGCCTTTAACCAGATTTTTTATTTTCATGTATTTTCATACTTAATGTGTCTTGTAGTTTGGGTCCACCTTCACACTGGTTGAACTTGACCTCTTACCCAGAAACACCATGCTTTCATTTCTGTTCATTTTGAGCCACTTCTCCTGTAAAACATTTTTCAGTTTCAGAGACATCTTTTAATGAGCCACTTTGATGTTCAGATCTACAAAATGTAATCTGCATTTGTTGGACCCCGCCTATTGATCTAAAAGTTGTACTTCAACCTAGGGCACCTTCCAGCTGTAGTTTCTAAACTCACCTGCAATATGCATTGGCCAGCAGCTCAACACCAACCCTGAATTTGAGGTTCAGACACTCAAAATATGTAAAATATGAAGCATACCCAGGAATGTGACTTGTGGCAGCAGCACACAGGAAGCATCTATTATCACATGCCCAGCCTTTCTTGGTGGACATGGACTTGGTCAGCCCCCCCCCCCCCCCCCCCCCCCCCCCGTTAACCAGACGTTTCACGCTTACAACTGCATATACCACTGCTTTTCAACCCATAGGTACGTAGGTATACCTTTTTATGCTTGGTTTCCTTTAAACCAAATTTGTATCCTAGCCCCATTGTGTTTTCAGTCACACACAGTGGTCTTGTGTGTAGAAAGGTTTTCCTTATTGAAGGATTTATGACCTGAGTGTGCCCCTTTCACCCTAACGGCCTGTCAGGGAGGAACAGCTTGTGTGAGTCACTGCCCAAGAGATCTGACATCTACAGACCTGGATCTTCTTAACCTGATGACCTGACGCTCCAGTGTATTCCCGGCATATGGCACAATTGTGCCATTGCTAGGGCACGATAGATAACTTCAGTCACAAACACATTGAACAGGTATTAATTATACAGCATCTAACAAACACAACTTGCCTGAGGCAAGTGGAACCTATTGCTGTCAGGTGTTTGATCCGGTAACTGATGTGGTGTTGGCGAAGAAAACTGATGCAGTACAGTACGTGAAATAAAAAAAGTAAATGCCCTTTTCACGCCTTAGGCGCATCGGGCATATGGGAAGAGCGTCCCATATTTTTACAGACCAACTGGCACTGGGTGGGTAATGTGGTCAGCATTACGCCGGCTGTCTTTACTTCCCCAGGACAGCCATCCACAAGACATTTTAGCCTGGGTCGACCTGCGACGCCCTATACCATTTAAAAAATCCATGCAGCCAGCAGTGGGTTTCGATTGCGGTACGTTGTAATTACGAGTCAGACTCGCCATGCCTAAGCCACTGAAACCTCTAGTACGTGAAATAGTGGTCTTTAAATAAAATGGCAACAAAACATGGCCAGATAGAAAGCAGACATAGTGTTGAAGATAAGATGACAGGACCTCCATTTGCAGATGAATGTTCATGGTCATAGCAGCATAGAAATTATTGTTTATCTTACTGTGAAGTTCGTACTAGAGACAACATTGCAGATATAGATAATCTATTTCAAGCGAACGAAGGAAGAAGAAGAAATTTGTATCTTTGTTGTAGTCACTAGATTATGATGGAAGTAATATAATCTTTGGTAATTTTACAAAACCAGTATATACACCTTTTCCATCTTTAGTTAAATGGCCCTTGTCAATGCCTTTGTGAGGCCACACGACATAGCATTTTTTCTTGATGTGTGCTTTCCATCCTTTTTATCACGTACCTTTCAACACAAGTTATGGTTTTTCAATTTTTTTTTTTTTTTTAAACAAACACAAAAACCTGTTGAAAATAATCTATGGTATCAATTTACCTGCCCTTTTTTAGGATTTTAAATTTAAAAAAAAATTCCTTTCAGGGAGGAGAACAGTTCAATGTTTGCCCGTCATTTGGCCAGATGCACAGGACTGGTTTTTCTTTCCCCGCTGTTAGCAGTTAGGGTTGCTATTTCTCACTGGCAGTCATGTACTCCAGGGGCTAGATCGATGCCATGAAGTGGTGTATTGCCAACCACTTGGGCATCTGCACTTAGTAATTTATTTTTCTGATTACATCTTGTGCCAACAATTGTGCATAAATTATGGAGTACAAAGCATATATTTGCTACAGTAATGCATTTTTGCATAAGCAAAATTATGGTAGACATCCAGCCCGTACATATCACATGCACACACGCACACATGTGCCCGCATGCACACTCACAGAGATTGTCAGTATGAGATCATGCATTCCAAGCTCATGCTTGAATTAATACTAAGCATTTATAGGTAACATAAAAACATTATTTTTAACATTAAATGTTTCATTTAACTTAAATGCCCTTCTTGTAACATATTAGGAAGAACAACGGTTGCGAGCAAAGCAAGCAAAAGAAGACTTGGAACAGTTTCTGTTGAACAGTGACAAGATGAATTCTTCTATTAAATATTGGTAAGTTGTAAACATTTTACACTTCTTGGTTTTATTATTTTTTATTTTATCTGACTTTTTGTTCAACTTTACATCTTTTGGTCACTTATATAGATAGCTTGTACCTTTTCCCTTATGTGAGTTCCAGAGCCCCATTGTGTGGAAACCAAGAATAGACCTACTGCCTCCCCAACAAGCATGTCATACAAAAAGACTAATTTTTGGCTTCCTTTAAAGTACGCATCTGCCTGAGCGGCAAGGACAACCAACTGTTTAATTTTGTGCAAAATTACAAAAATATATTCATTTTTGTTAAATATTTTTTTTGAAAAAAAAAGACATTTTTATTTGTCTTTATTGTTGTCACAGCATGAACAAATATGTTTTAACCCACTGACTACCAAGCCCATTAACCCTTGCATTTCCCCAGATACCACGTATTTTAGTGTTTACTAAAAATGCCATAGCTTCACAACTATTTGATATAATCTCACAATATTTTGTATTTTTGCACCAAACTGAATGAAGAACAGATTTCAAGAAAAAAAAGTTATTTATTTTGTTTTGCATCATCATCATGTGGCTGTAGATTGGTGCAAAAAAGGCAACCGGAAAATCTTTTATCTGACAACAATAAAGACAAATAAAAATGTCCTATTTTCAAAAAAATATTTAACAAAAATGTATAATATTTTGTATTTTTGCACAAAATTAAACCAAGAACACATTTAAAGAAAAAAAACTATAAGGTTTACTCTGACATAGTCGTCATCATCATATGGCTGTAGATTGTTGCAAAAAAGGCAACTGAAAATCATTTATCTGACAATAAAGACTGATAGTGATGATTTTTTTTTCAAAAATTTTCAACAAACATAATATTTTGTATTTTTGCACAAAATTGAACCAAGAACACATGTGAAGACAAAAAATGGGATTTACTTTGTCTGACATAATCATCATCATCATGTGGCTGTAGATTGTTGCAAAAAAGGCAACTGAAAAATCCTTTGTCTGACAATAATTCAGACTCCCAAAAAATGTCACAGCTTCACAACTGTTCAATATCACTTATCCTATCTGATATTGTTTGCACTAAGTTAGATAGATAACAAATATCAAGACAAATGTAGATTTACTTTTTTATATCATCATCATGGGGCTGTAGATATGGTGCTAAAAAGGCAACAGAAAAATATGTTATCTGACAGCAGTATATAGAAAACGCCCCCGTGACATGATGGTGGCAGCAAATGATGAGTGGAGAGGTGGATATAGACTCTGGTAGTCTGAAATAGACAGCTTTTTCACAACACATGTGACGCAACAGTACAAGAAACCCTGTCACTTCATTTGGGGTTGTGTGTTTCCAGTTCCAGCACTAATCTTTGTCTCAGCATAACGGTTTTTTTCTTTAGCAAACACAGCAAGTATGTCTTTACTGAAGAAAATATCCAGTGGTTCATTTGTTCCTTCTGGCAGAAATAAACCAGAAGTGCCAGTAAATGGGGGTACTCCAGGAAAGCCTTCTAAATCACAATGCCAGTCATCAACCATTTGGGGGCGTGGCACATCTTCTCCAGACTCGTTAGATGATGATGATTCTGAATCAAAAGTGGCAATGATATCTTCGTCATGTGCAGACTCAAGCACAAAATCTTTATAATCTGTGGGCTTTGACTGAATACTCTCACAAGAACTATTAGCATCATAAACTGCAGCACTAGTGCTTGCAGCCGACAACACTGTCTTTGTCAGACTTGACTTCGAAGCGTCATACTGTCGTTTTACAGTCGACGATGTTTTGAATGGCACTTCGTTAAATTTATTATAGTCATAGCCATCAAACTGTTCAGAAGTGACTTCAAATTCACTTTTTGAAGCAAAATCAAGAAAATCGCGTGGCATCATTAGAAAAATTAGGAGAGATATGGCCACCACGATGGTTCCGATAATTTGACGCCTTGGTGAATTTTTCGGCAATGTCTTACCGTCATGGGAGCTAACTAAAAAATTCGTCAAATATTTACTTTAAGCACTACGAAGTTATTTCTCTTAATTAACCATACAGAAATGAATTAGCTAGAGGTTTCAACTAAATCCATCATAAAAATTGCGATTATAACATGACGGCGAGCATCCAAAGCTAACATCGCAAAGTGTGCGACGTTAGTGACAGGAAGTAAACGTTGCCTCGTCGCATAATGTGCGACGTTGGTAGTCAGTGGGTTAATGAGTTAAGAAGTGGACGCTAACCTTCTACCTTATCTAATTTTTTATTTTATTTCAATATTTATATCTTTAAACATGAATCTTTAATATTGAAAACGACAAATTTTTAATTACAGAGTGTTTTCCTCTAGGTTCTCCGTCATATAGTTTTTTTTTTTCCTTGGGGGGGGGGGGGGGGGGTGTCTTGTTATTTAATAGAACTCTTCGAAAGATATGTGACCAGGTTCGACGATCGTCAAGTGCAAACAGACGGCCATCGATAGTTTTCTAATGTAACTTCCCCAGGGTATTTTCATTATTCTGAGATTGCAGCACCCCCGATTAGTATTGCTTTGAGCTAATATATGTGTTGTTTTCAGTGAAATTTTTGTAATCCTTGGTACACGACCATATTCAGCCTTTTTATCATGTCTGATGACGAAAGCCAGACCCGTAGTATTGGTGATTCAGGTTCTACCAGCGAATTTGGCGCTGAAAAAGATAATTCATTTTCAGCATATCGCAATTAAAGGTAGTAAAAACAATGATAGACTTTATGGCAGAGATGATGTAGGTACGTCTGATAAAAGAAGTGGGCGTGGCACTAGAAACCAGAAAATTTCAACAGCCGAAAATGCTGTTTGGAAATTAAAAAAAGGCTGCTCAAAATTAGCCTTTAAGCTTGACAATCTTCCTCTATATGATGAACAAGATGCCATGTTAGACACAATTGGGTGTATGCCGATTGATTGTTTTTTTATGACAAAATCAGCTGGAACTGAAAAATCATCCTTTTGTATGTGACAGGAGAAAAGGTCAAGTTGCCCGTTACCTGGCATGACACAAGAGAATTAACCTGATATCTATTTTTTACTCCAATAATGTTAAGAACCAAACAGTTAGGAAAAGTGAAATTCCTGAGAGCAGAATAATATATGTTGCATGCCAAGTCTTAGACAAGGTTTTAACACTGAGTGGACAAACACAACAGGTTTGTCTAGGACTGTGTGGTAATAGGAGCTGCCATGGTGTAGGCCTAGATGCTCACAGGGTGGGTTGGGGTGGTGATGAACCAGACTTTTAAAAAGGAACTACTGCAACCACACTGTGTGTACTCGGTACAGCCTTAAAGAAGGCAAAACACCTTGACTCAGAATTACCCTGACACAACCTTGAAAAATACATTGGAAAGGGCCTTGATATTGAGTGTTATGTTTGTGTATGTATGTGTGTTGGTGTATATATGGATGTATGTTTGTATTATGAATGCATGTAGATGTAGCCTATGTATGTATGTATGCATAATGGTGTATGTATGGATGTATGTTTGTATTATGTATGTAAATATGTGTGCATATATGTATGTAGGTGTGTCTGTACGTATTACATATGTATGTGTATGTAAGAGTATGTGTACGTCTGAGTGTAAGATTATGTACACATGATGCAATTATGCATTATTCTATAATGCAAAAAAAAAAATTTATATACATAACATGCTTGATTGATAACAGGCACTGGTACTCTGAAAGATGAATGCTTAGAAGGGCCGAATGTCAGGTGACCTGCGTGCCCAATTTGTAACCCTTCAGAAATAAAGTTTGTTCGTTCATACGTTCGTTCCTTCGTTTGGTAAATTTAGCTATGAACCCTGGTTTAAGAAATATCTTGATAGAACACAATAGATGCTATGATTATGATAAACATGTTATAAAATTATGCTGTTATACAATTATTTTTTTTATGTGTGTGTGTGTGTGGTATTTTATTCAATTAGTAATTGAAAAGTGATTGATGAGATTTTCTTTTTTCAGGAAGGCGGATACAATTTTTGGTGAGGATGATGCATGGAAAAATGTATCCGAAAGAGAAAGAAGAGACTTGTTTGATGATGTTGTGCACCTCATTGCAAAACGGGAAAAGGTATGCCGGGGGGGGGGGGGGGGGGGGGTTACAATGTGGGTAAGAAATATGCTACATGATTGTTAGCATATTAAATCACATGGCAGCATTATGTCTATGGAAATGAGTGAAGCACAATAACTTCTCTATGTGTTGATGCCACATTTGGATTTGTCCTTGATGCTGCCTGCAGAAGTCAGTTGGAAGAGTAGGGACGAGTAAGATGATGATCGTGTCAATAGTGGTAGAGATGATGATGGCATATTTCTTATGGCACTCTGATATTTCATGATAAATGTCTTGCTTTCCCTTAATTATCGAGAGAGTGAGTTTCAATCTAAAGGTTACGCAGATGGTTTCAACCCCTATTTATACTGATTCTGGCTAGTGTAGAATAATGTCCCACTACTAATTACTTCTAGTAAGTTCTAGTATGCTCAGCATGTTTACTACCTATGTTCTCACTGTTGAATTCCCTTATTGCATCTCAGTTGCATCACCTAGTTACACAACTCAAATTCAATAATTAGCTTAGCTGTTTGCATTACTTTCTGTCAAAGCTACTTCATGTATTAACTTTTTTGAATTGTTTAACCATTTTTCTCCCTTTGTAGATTTAATATTATCACAGGAATACTCACTTGAGACTTTCAAGGACCACTTTTTAAGTCAGAATCAGATAAACACCACCTGGCAGAAACAGTCAATTGCCTAACTTTGCTTGTATTAAAGGCATCCTCGAGATCAGGTGCTGCCACAATCGTCTCCTGTCTGTTTTGGAACCCCTTAAAAAAAGCAAAAGTAGCTGCATTTGACTAGGTACCTTTCCATGGCTGGTAACTACCCCAACTTTTTGGCAGGAGCTCTTCCCTTTCCAAAAAACATTTGTAGTTTAACAGTAACAATATCTTTAGCACTTCGTCGGATGTATGTTGTAGGTTGATAATCCTGAAAACACTGAGTCTAGAATGGTCTTTGCCTTCTTTTGGCAGAGGGATTAGTAGCTGTGTACCCAATCCTGGAGTACTGAAGCTGTTCTGATGCTCTGGTTGAAGTGAATAGCTGCAATTTTGTGACTCCATTATCTATCTGTATACCCAGAACCTCTAGTGTACTATGATTCCATTGGCTCAGGTCAAGAACCACTTGATTCAACTCATTCTTCACCAGACATTGCCATGTTTTACCTGTCCGGTAGTATTATTATAACTAATATATCCAGGACGCTCTTATCTATCTATGTTTAATTTCTGCAGCATAATGATTTTAAAGTCATAAATCAGTCTCTCCAGTACAGGTCCTCTCTGCTTTGCACTATAACAATTTCAGTAACCCACTCTAATATGCTTTAGTCCCAAATGCTCTGTTTTTTGCCTGACTCTGGGCTCCTGCTCTCCTATTTCTATGTTTTCTTCCCTCTTCATTTCCTCTTCTCCTCTTCCCACTCGAAGATTGTTGCCACCTGAAGATGGTATCAAACACAGAGAACGTGCTCCATAGCTCTGGCGATGATTCTTTTTATTATTAAGTACAAAATCCATAGAAGATACTATTTCAGTGCAATAAATAAATGGTCACCCTGTTATTGCCTGCCTGCTAGGGAAGAGGTAGAGGATGTCCTGACTGAGTTCATATGCCATCGCAGCTCCCTGCCCCCGTAACCAGACGTTTCACGTTCTTGACTGTATATTCCACATAGATCCACTGTAGGCTTAGTTTAAAAAAAAAAATTAAGGTCGTCTCATCTATTTTGTGATAATCTTCTTTTTCTTTCATTCGCTTAAAATAGATTATCTATATCTGCAATTTTGTCTCTAGTATGAACTTCACTGTCTTTGTAATTCACTCAGTGACCGGTAAAGTTTGACCTGCACCAATGTTTTTTTTGGCCAAAAGTTTTGCTTTGATATGTTTGTTGTATTTGGAACAGTTTTGTGTGTGATAATGTGTAGTAATGGAATTATTTAATACACCAATGATCAGTAAGCAAGACAGTGATAATTAATAAAAATCAATATTTGCAGAAAACAGTTATAATAAAAGCAGGTATTATACTTTGTATATTTTTAAATAAAAATCTTTAGACATTCATTATAATTAATGTATTACTTTGTTTTGGACTCATAAGTAATTTTTTAAATGTTTAATCTAGGAAGATGCCAAAATTTTGAGGAAGCGAAATATCAAAGTGTTTTCGGAAATTCTTGACAGCATGCCAAACCTGACATACACAACAACATGGTCTGAGGCACAGCAGATGTTATTAGATAATCCAAGGTTTACTGAAGACCCAGATCTCGAAAGTGAGTACTGTAAATTTAGTTAATTTCATTTATGATTAATTATGCACTGAATTTTAATCTTTTGCAGCTTTAAACAGATGTAGAAATACTGCCGCCTGGATATCTTCTTCCTGTGTTATAAGCTGTTTTGTCAGTTTTTCTGTGGGCTCCGTGCATTTTTTTGCTTTTTTCTTCTTCTGCCTTTCTAGCCTCCAATGGAGCATAGGCCCTCAACGAGCTCACCCCAAATTGTTCTATCTTTTGCAATTGCATGCGGCTTCCCACGTCCTCATCTTTCTAACTTCATTCTCCAGCCTCCTTTTTTATGTGTTTTTTGGCCTTCCTTTATTCCTATGCCCCTGTGGGTTCCAATGCAAAGACATTGTAGTCATATTGTTCTCCGGTATTCTCAGTGTGTCCTATCCAACACAGCATCTTTTCTTAACCTCTTGGTCCACTGGAGCTTGCTATGTTTTCTCCCAAAGCTCTACATTAGTGATTCTGTCATACCTTTGGTTTGCTTCAAGTGTTTTTAAATTTTGCATAGGATCGTTAGCGTATTCTTCTTCTTCTTCACTTCCTCTTTTACCGCTGTGGGTGTCGAGGGAGATATAAGGTTTTGTTTCTAGCTCTTCTGGCTGCCTCGACCATAGGCACATCGTGCTGTTGTAGAGTTTCTCTGATGTTATCCTTCCATCTTGTTCTTGGTCTACCTCGTGCTCTACGTCCTTCTTCACTTTCCATGTATGCTTTGTATGGTATGGTGTTACAAGGCATTCTCTCTAAGTGAGCAAACCATTTCACTTGCTGTCTTCGTATGTAATCCAGAATTGGTTCTGTGCTGACTTTTTCTCTTATGATCTCATTCCTGATCTTATCTCTTATGGTCACTCCTACAGCCCTTCTCAGACATCTCATTTCTGTGGTTACTAATTTTCTTTTATGGTTTGTTGTAAGTGACCATGTCTGGCACTGGTAGCACAGAGTTGGAATATATATGCTTTGAATAAGATGTCTCTTTGTGCTGATTGGGATTGTCTTATGCTGTAAGAGGGGGGCTAGCTGTCCCAATACTTGGTTTGCTTTACTGCATCTAATCCTAATTTCTTTATCCAATGTCCCATCTTCGGTAAATGTAGTTCCCAGATATTTAAACTCAGATGCCTGTTTAATGCCTTTGCACTCTATTGCTATGTTTAGATCTGTCTTCTTTTTTCCTATTGACATTACTTCTGTCTTTTCAGTGTTGATTCTCATATTATTTGTTTTACATTCTTCATTCATGGATGTTAGATGTTGTTGCAATTTCATGGCTGTATCTGCTATCAAGGCCTGGTCATCTGCAAAGAGTAATTCGTTGATCTTACTAACATTTTCATTCATGGGCTTGGCATTCTTGCATATACTGTCGATGTAGGTGATAAACAGCAGTGGTGATAAGACACACCCCTGTCTTACTCCAGATGTTACTGTAAATGGATGAGATGTTCCCTGATTTATTCTAACTACACTTCTGTTGACAAAACAAAATTGCATATTCTAGCATCTGCAGCACTGTTGTCTGCTCTGTTGTGCTAACTCGTGTTGATAGCAAGTATGACAGAAGTAATCGAAAGCAAAAAGTGCACATACATATTTATGAATTGGCGGACAGAGGTTACTGCCTAGTGGTAGTCATGGGAGGTTGTAACACAAAAGTAGGTAGCAAAAGTATGGTTGTTGAGAGAGCAGTAGGTAAAGAAGGAGTTCATATGAAGAGTGAAAATGGAGAACAATTAGCTGGATTCTTTATGCAGTCAGGTAAAAATAAAAGTAATAGACCCTTTTCCACTCCCTTAGGCATAAAGGGAATATAGGGCTGTATTTTATAGATCAATTGGCACAAGATAGGTGATGTGGTCATTATCTGGTCGGCCGCTCTTACTTCCTAGGACTGCATCCGGTACCCACTCAAGGCTGGGTCGACCTGGGAGCCAAGGCCATTTTTGAAAAAAGTCTGGCTCCGCCAGGGAGTGAACCCACGACCTTCCGATCCGCGGCAAATGTGTAGCTACTCTGCCGCGGCGACCTCCTTTATGCAGTCAGCATCTAGTAATTAGAGGAACCATCTTTGATTATAAGGAGATTTATAAACTATTTTGGCACTACCCAGATGGAGTGATGAGAATCAAATATATACACAGCAAATATAGAAGCTTTCTGATGGGTGTTTGAGTAGATATGGGCAGTGGCCACATCTCTTATGTTGGAAAACTAAATCCTACATTTTAAAAAAAAGCTTGGAAAAAACATGTGCAATAAAGAATAGTCAAAGACTTCTTAATGAAAAACCAAAGAGCTAAAAATAGTAAAATATTAAAATACGCTAATAGTTAACTAGTAATTTAGAACTGTGGAGTGGTCTGTTTAAAAGTAATTATGGTACAGTGCTTACATCTGATACTGAGCAGAAGAAAAGTTGGACGTAACACTTCCAAGAGACCTTAAATAGACCTACACAACAAGAAACAATGAATTTAAAAAAAAAATAAAAAAATACCATATTACTAATAAATTTAGGACTGATAAATTACATGGAAATCATGGAATTATTAGCAAACATAGGGCAACACCCCCATGGACTGAGCAGATGTAAGATAAAACAGGTCCCTGTGGGTTTTAGGCATTATCGTGGGGGAAACAAGAATAGACCCACCACCTCTCCAACAAGCATGCCGTCAAAGTCGACTGATTAGGCTGCTTTCTTCAAAGTCGGAGTGGATCTGCCTGAGAGGCAAGAAACCAACAGTCTGCATACAAATAAAAAGATATATAAAACGGATGTGCACACAATAGTCAGGTTCTGGAACAAGTCTAAAGTTCAGATTTGGACGAACAACAGAAACTTTCCGCCGGAGTTTACAGCCACTTAACGCGAAGAAGAAGAAGAAAAGGCAGCAGGTATGATATTACTGTAGAAATGCTCAAGGTAGCAGATGATGTAGCCATAAACCAAGTAAAATATTTTTTTGATAACTTGGGCAGACAAAAAAAAAATCACAAATTAGTGGAAGAAAGGAATAATTGTTGAAATGTTAAAGAAAGGTAATCCTTATCTTATTGATCTCATCAAGACGGGTGTTTGGAAGGGCCGAATGTAAGACGGGCCTGCCTGCCCAGTTTGTGACCCTTTGAAAATAAAGTTTGTTCGTTCGTTCGTTCACCACTCTTGAATTCATCCCATTTTATGTTCAACATTTTTCTCAGGCATTTGTTTTCAAATGTATTTAACTTTCGTTCCATAGCTTATCGCTATGATTACTTGCACCTAGGGACCTTCCTCAAACTACTACTTCACAGCAAGTGCAGTACACCTCTACATGCACAGCTAATCCTTTACAGGGTTAGTAGCCGACTTTGACCCTTGATTTTTACCATGGAAAAGACCAAGCTACCTTGATTTTTCACCCGTTATGAAAGTAAAATGAATTATTGTAGGAAGACCTGCAATTTTCATCAGTTAGGCTTTTTTCGGCTACCTTCGTTTAATTGTTTACTGATGTCATTTCTGGTAAACGGTCAGCAGGCAGTTGATTATAGGATATTTTCAACTGAAATGGCTTGTTAAGGGTGTGGGAAGGGCGAGCTGTGTTGCAGACAGCAGTTCAGGGCATGGGGCGGGATGATGCAGTCGCCTTTGTATGCGATTTTTTATAGAAACTAGGATTACATTAGGAGATGCTGGGGCTGGCAGAGTGACATTAGCTGGAGTTTCCAGTTGTTTTTAGCCCGACTTATCTTTACAGTGTGTTTGGTGATTAACATTTCAATTCCCCTCATAGCTTCCCTCTTCTTTTCTCTCACCTCTCTCTGTCTCCTTCCCTCTTTGTCTCCTATCTTTTGCCCTCTCTCTTCTCTGTCTCTTCTTCCTGTCTCCTCACCCGTCCCCCTCTCTCCCCATCCATCTTCTGTCTTCATCTCTCTCTTTCGTTATACTGCCCTTTTTCTTCGCCCTTTCCATGTTTTCTTTTTCTTTTTTTTCCCACCCCGTCTCCCCCTTTTTTGTGCTTCATGTTCTAAATTTGCTGCCCCGTGACTCTTTCCTAGTTGTTATGACCAGTACAAAAGAAATTATATTATGGTTGGGGGAAGGGTGTTTTAACATGGGGCTGGTAGTTTTTTTTATTTTTGTTTTATTTAGCATTCTTGCTCTGTTTTCTTAAAAAAGACTAATTTTCACATACAGGACAACATAACCTTTTGATGATTTCATCAGTTTCAAAAACAACTACTACTATTCTGTGTTCCAGTTTTTTCTTTTTCAAATTTAGCAGAAACTTGCTGCTTGAGGAGGTTATATATTCATACGTATCTCTTTTAATCTTGCTTCAGGTTTTTTCTGCAAGCAAAGAGTCACTTTCATAACTTTGAGTAGTTGGGCATATTTCAATTCGAAGTGTGAAATGCTCATATCATAAACAATTGATCAAATTGGCCCTCTTGGAGAATTGGATGCCTACGTGTTTCAGCCAATGGAAATCGCCCACAGCTTATGCTATAATAAGTAAGGTCATGTTTACACCCATATAATGAAGTTTCCAGAATATTGTTGGGATGAATGAAAGAACTTTTCGTCCGAAAGATTGTCTTCCGTGGTCCTGAAACTTCCAGAACAAAGCAGGAGAGATAATAGTGATTACATCGGTATTTAATTCACAGTTATCTCATTGTGAAAGTACACTTGCTAGAGTTTGGAAAAATGTGAATTTCCTAACAATTTTCGATGAATACTAAATTAGAAACTGAAGGTTATTTCAGTAAAATATTAATACTGAATTTAAATAACATTAAAAAAATAAATACAGAATCTCACAGAAGAAAGGTGCGTAAAAATGAACCTTTCCAGAAATTGTCAACCCTAACCAAATTTTCTATTTTTGTGACCCACACATTGCTTTAAGAGTTTATATTTAACTTTTTTTTCTCCCCAGACATGGACAAAGAGGATGCCCTTATTTGCTTTGAAGATCATATTAGGCTTCTAGAACAAGAGAATGATGATGAAAAAGAGAGAGAAAGACGAAGATACAAAAGAAATCAACGAAAAAATAGAGAAAGTTTCATAGTAAGTGAAGTATTTATACTATTCCAAATTTTATTTTCTGTAACATTTCTGTTTAAATAGAGAGAATAACTTTTTTTAAGTTCTTTGTTCTTTAATGAAATGATCAAGAACCTTGAGACAAGGCCAGAACAGAACTGCAGCAGATTTGTAATAAGTGTTGGGTCTGTGGCAAATTTCCATAGATATGGAGAGAAGCAATCACACTACCTTTTCCAAAACCAGGAAAGAAGAATTCTAGTGCCTCCAGCTATAGACCAATCAGCCTTAACAGCTGTTTGTTAAACAGTGGAATGCATTCTCAACTTTAGACTTTAGTAGTACATGGAAAGTGAAAACATCTTTATGCCATAGCAGCCAGGCTTTAGACAGTACTACTGCACAAAAGTAAATGTAAATTTCACCATCATTTTAGTTCATTCAGTGGTCCTTAAGAGTTTACTCCCTCCGCTTTTGTGCTGTTTGGCTAAAAATTTCACCTTAATGTGTTATTCGATGTAGTCTTGTGGTATGTGTTCTGCTGGGGGACTTTCCACATGTGCACATGGCTAATACACCTGTCTTAAATTTTGTGTACATGTGAGTGCATACTCAGCTGTGTCCTGTTCTGAGGCACACTATGTGACTTGTTTTGATCTGTGCATAATAAGGTATTTAACTTGTCCGGTGGTTGATGGTTTTCAGATTGATTGAATTATCCTTTTTTATTGGTGTTATGTGACTGGTAGTCAGTGTCTGTGACTTAGGCTCGCAAACACGCTGTATAATGCAGGGGTGCAAGGTTTGATCCCAGCTGTGGGTGGTTTTGTCTTGCGTTAGTGTAGACAGTGGTATCGAGAGCTGACTGTTCAGAAGGCAGTGGCAAACTTCTGAACGTACAATTTGCCTAGAAAAATCACAACAGTCAACAACAAAAAATGCTTGGGTTGGTTCTGCGACGTCCTGTAAAGAATAAGCAACTGACTTTTTAATGTGACTGGTACATCCGGCTGCTCTTTTGTCAAATCTTTCCCGGTCAGTTGATCTCTCTCTCTTTCTCATGTCTGGGCACTCCACTGTGGGATTGTTGAATTAGTAATAGATATCACAGCACTAAGGACACCCCTATCAGTGTTTCATCCCTATCTTCAGCAGCAGTAACTGTCTGATTGTATAACCATCTTGCCTTTCCCCTGAGTTATGAGCCTCGGTAAGATCCCCTTGTATCATTCTCCCCAGACCGTTATGATCTATCTGTGCCTCCGCACTGTTCAATCGCTCCCAAAAAGCCTTCACAACATCCAGCCTGTCATACATCAGTTCACCACCAAGCAGTGCAGAACTAGCCACACTATTTGTCTGCTTATTTCCTAACACACTGGCATAACCTTGAGAAAATATCCAATGGATGCTAACTACATGAGACCTCTGAAGTGATGCTTGCCATCTGCATAGAGCATGCCTGTTTCCACTTTTCTCAACATGCTCTGCGAGTCAGTTTTAATCAGAACGTGTACAGCTGATTCTCAAGCCAGGGTAAGGCAACAGTGACTACCTCCACCTCCCTTCTCAAACTAGATGTTGTGACATCATATACCAGGCTTTGCTGCTCCAAGCGACGTCCATTATGAACTCCCATTCACTTTATCTGCCCCTCAATGCCGAGCCATCTGTACAGATAATCACATGACCTGCACAGGAATTGTCATGAATCATTTGTCTGATTCTGCAGCACTATCTCGCCAGTCCCAAAACTCACGACTCAAAGTCTGAAACTTGCTCAGTCACTTTGACCCACTCCTCTCCTCGCTTAAATTTATCGAGCTTGCACACATGTCCAATCGTGTCTTCAGCTTGCGTCATCCAAGACCTTCCTTTCTCAGTCTGTGACCCTTTGCTCTCCCCAGGGCTTCATGCAGGAGGTGCTTCTGTCTGCAGCTACCCTGAGATATGACTTTGAGCCAATCAGCAATAGTAGGCAGTGCAAGTATGTATCTCATACATACTACCAGGGTATCTCCTGTACATCCCAGAATTATCCACATGGCTTCATTCTGTAAGTGTTCAAGTTTCATCAGATGAACCTTCCTTTCTCAGTCTGTGACCCTTAGCTCTCCCCAGGGCTTCATGCAGGATGTGCTTCTGTTTGCAGCTACCCTGAGATATGACTTTGAGCCTATCAGCAAAAGGAGCCAGTGCAAGTATATATCTCATACTTACTACCAGGGTATCTCCTGTACATCCCAGAATTATCCACATGGCTTCATTCTGTAAGTGTTCAAGTTTCATCAGATGACTCTTTGAAGGTACCTCAGTTTGCTTTCTCTTTTTATCTTATTGTCATTAATTGTGAGGCTTCGAACATTAGTTCTTACAATTCTATTGTCCAAAGAGCACCACAAAACAGCTGCCTTTTTCTGAATGGATGGCAGCACCAGTTTCTGCACACCAGTCAGTCACTTTGTCTACAGTTGCCCGTAGCTCTTAGGCTATCCATTGCCTATCACTCCTCTGCCTATATTCAAGAAACTTATCGGTAAATGTTAATATCCTTCCAACACTTGGTGCTTCAAGTTCTGCAATCTTGCTTAAATACACATTGAAAAGCGCTCGTGAAATTGCAAAATTTGGGTTAGTCACAGGGTGATATTACATGGTTCTGAGGTCTATAAAGGGCAACCATGTGCAGATGCAGAACAGCTGCTATCCAGTTCACAAGCCAGGGACAAACCCCTGAGGGTTCGTAGCCGACCTCAAATTTAGCCACGGCCATCTTTAGCTATAAATAGGTCAACGGGGATTCCCGTTCTTGTGCAAGAATTGAGTCCCTCTGTGTTAACAGTTTTTATTGAGGAGATGTATACACAAATTAAACTACAGTTTCATTATTTGTCTACATATTTTATAGAACTATACGTCATTTTTAAGGTAAATAAGTGTGCCGAATAAATATAACAACAAAGGCTCTTACAGACAAACAAAAATGCTTTTGCTACAGTAAACATGAACATAAACATCAATACCGTTTAGATGAAAACTAAAAGTTGTTCCAGCAAAAGTGAAGAAATATCTAACTCTTTGATTCTGAGAGGGTATTCTTGCATCGGAGGGGGGGGGGGGGGGGGTGACATCGGTACTTTATCAAATTTAGAGCATACAAATGCTGCTATGAAAGATACACATATCATACATAACATAAATATAAATAATTGATGGTTATTATTATTAGTAGACTACTACAACATATAATTATACTGTTATTTAATAATTAGTAAACAAACACAATCAGTATGTAATTGATATGTGCAATACTTTTTTCACCCAGAGTAGTTTTCTTAACAGTACTTATAGCACTACTAAATATGTATCCTCAAGGTACAAACAGCACAAACAAATTTGTCCAGTTTCATCTTGTTGGATGAAATCAATTCCTTAACATTGCAAATTTTTTGGTACATATGCATAGGAAGTGGATGAACAACCAGAAGTTTCCGCAAGAGTTTACAGCCAGTGTTCGCTAAGCAAAGCAAAAGCCAGTTTACACAAATTAACAGATGCAAAAGAAGTCGATGAACTACCAGAAGTTTCCGCAAGAGTTTACAGCCAGTGTTCGTGAAGCAAAGCAAAAGCCAGTTTACAAAATTAACAGACCGTAGAACTGCAAACATGCAAAAGAAGTCGATGAACTACCAGAAGTTTTCGCAAGAGTTTACAGCCAGTGTTCGCGAAGCAAAGCAAAAGCCAGTTTACAAAAATTAACAGACTGTAGAACTGCAAATATGCAAAAGAAGTGGATGAACTACCAGAAGTTTCCGCACGAGTTTACAGCCAGTGTTCGCGAAGCATAAGTCAAATGGTTAAGGATTAATATTATTAGTGTACTGCTACAACATATAATTATACTGTTAGTCAACAATTAGTAAAGAGGCAAAGAGTGACTTGCTGTGAGAGGTTAGTTAGTAAATTCAATATTATTTTCATCCACTTACCTAGAGGTCCAAAATATCTTGACACAATTTATCCACAGTGTGGTTGCACCATTTATGCATAGTCAATATGGAAGCAATAGTTTTCTTCAAACACAAGATAGTTTGCACCTGACAACTGTCGATATTCTCCAGATATGGCTTCTAAATTAACTGTTTAAAGTATTTTCCCTAAAAGTAAGTTCTCCACATTCAAAGTAGAAAAAGAATAAACAGCCAGTTCCCAAAAATCCAAACTACTGACTAGAAACAGTGACACACACATCGCAACACGACCGTCTCCCGTGAATTTAAATTCAAATTGCTGTAATCTAACAGCAAAGTTTGAAAATCTTGTGTATCTTCTTCAGAATATCCACTTGTAGATATGTAATACGAATTCATTCAGAACACAGAACTTTGCAAGCACATTAAAATTTCACACAATGCAACACATGGAAAGGGCTTACACTAACCAGTTTTCGAGGGACTCCATCCAAAAAGTCACGTGATTTAGTTAGATGGCGTAATCTAGAGTTGGCGGTGATTTAGCCTTGAAATTGCGGCCCTGACCTTGAACCTTTGTTTTTACCTTGAAAAAGACACGCTGACCTTGAAAAAGCCTGGAATGTTGACTGCTGAAATGGGATCGTAGACAAACATGCAATTTTTGTCAGTTAGGCTATTTTCGGTCAATTGGCTAGTTTTTGCTACTTCCATTTAAAAAATGTATGCTCATTTCGGGTAAAAGTTGAGCCGGCAACCGATCGATTATCTCTTAATTGTTCTCATTCTTTGCTTTGCACCATATGCTAAACAGGCAGTTAATGGTGAGGGAAGGGTGAGCTGTGTTGCAGCTGGTGGATACTGCAGACTGCCACGGGGTGGAAGAAAGCGGTCACCTGGCATTATTACATTGGGGGGGGGGCAGGGCTGTCAATGATGGTGATCTCACCCCTCCCCTCCACAAGATTTCTGGTGACCCCATCTCCAAGATTTGTGTTTTTTTTTAAATGTTGTTTGTGCATGTCTTTTGTTTTTGTCAGTTACGTCTTAGGT